CTCTCTCTCTCTCTCTCTCTCTCTCTCTCTCTCTCTCTCTCTCTCTCTCTCTCTCTCTCTCTCTCTCTCACACACACACACACACATCGCGTTCCTGCCTCCGCTGGTCCCTCTTTTGCTCCTCGCGTCGCCCCTCCCCCGGTCCACTGCCCTGGTCCCCACCTCCCCGCACCCCCTCCGACTCATCCCGTTCGTCCCCACCGCCCTTTCACGACACAGAAAAACAAACGCGCCGGCCGTGGATCTACGTGCGCAAAAGACAAAAGATGGCAATGTATTTCTCTGCACTCTGGCGGTAGATGCAGTCTCGTGAGTAGTGCAGCGAGGCCCTAAGTCCAAAACGAAACGACGCGAGCGGGCCCACAAAACGACAAAAAAGAAAAGCAAGGTATTTCTCCGTACTCTAGCCATACATTAGCAGTGCAGCGAGGCCCTAAGTCCAAAATGAAACGGCGCGAGTGGGCCCACAAAACGACAAAAAACAATAAGCAACGTATTTCTCTGTACTCCAGCGGTAGATTCAGTCTCGTGAGTAGTGCAGCGAGGCCCTGAGTCCAAAACGAAACGACGCGAGCGAGCCCACAAAACGACAAAAAAAGATAAAAAAAGGACACAGGTGTCCTGTGGGCCCACCCCTTGCCCCGCCGCCTTTCCCAACACTGGCAAGCGGGTCTCCGTGGGAGCGTCACGCGAGACCCTTTACACTCTTTCAGAGTGTTAAGGACGAGACCCTTTACACTCTTTAAGAGTGTTAAGGATAATAATAATGCTGGTAGCCCGGTACACTATTACCCCGGACACGAACATCCGGGCATCGAGACACCGGTACCGGACCAATGCATGGATGAAATCCGGTTAACCGGACACACAACCCGACATCCAGACAACTGGACCCCGACAGTCCATTGGGTAAATCTGTGTCCGTAAGTCCGGATAAACACACACACACACACACACACACACACACACACACACACACACACACACACACACACACACACACACACACTTGTGTTTCATATTGCCAACTGTCTCGTAGTTGGGTAGGCCCCTCTCAAGTGTGCTGCATTGATTCCATAAAGGTCAGGTTCCTATGATTTTGGATCTACTCATGTAGGCATTGCTTGCATAAAGGTAACGTTTCTGTTGTGCTTCACGTTGCTGACTATGGAGGCAATACTGTTTCCTTGGTGGATTGATTCATCTCATGCATGCTTCATCGCCTACAATAATGGTAAAGTTGCTGCAATTTTGGATCTACTCATCTGGGTGGAACAGGGGATATTGTGGTGAACATTCACAACACACACACACACACACACACACACACACACACACACACACACACACACACANAGAAAGCCAGACTTTGTCCCCTACTTTGAATGACAAGTCACGTCTGTGTTTGTTAGTCTTGTTGGCTTGTTGTTCTTGTGTTCTTTCAAGGGCTTCGGTTGCTTCTCTGAGGAGTCTGTTCATTGTTGCTATCCATTCATTGAGAGAGGGGCAGGGGGTGGGTTCTTTCAAGGGCTTCAGTTGCTTCTCTGAGGAGTCTGTTCATTGTTGCTATCCATTCATTGAGAGAGGGGCAGGGGGTGGAGGGGTTGAGCTGCGAGGGAAGCAAGAAATCAGAGGGCAAGCGGGGATGGTAGCCAAGGTCGAGGTAGAAAGGGGACATGCCAGTGGAGGGGCAGACAACATTGTTGTAGGCAATTTCGGCGGCTGTGAGCAACTGATCCCAATCDTGTTGGTGTGGATGACAATACTTCCGYAKGATTCTTTGGAGTGTATCGTTCATCTTCTCTGTTTGTCCATCGGTCTGTRGGTGGAATGCAGTGCTATACTTGAGCGTGGTTCCGTAKGCCGTRAAGAGGTGTTTCCAGAATTGTGAGAGGAAGCGAGGATCACGGTYACTGATGATGTTCTCGGGGAGGCCGTGATGGCGAGCAACATGGTCGAAGAAGAGTGTGGCGACATCTTTGGCACTGTGCGAGGTCGTGCAAGGGATGAAGTGGGCACRTTTGGTCAAGCGRCARACAATGACGTARATGCAATCATGCCCGCGGTCRGTCTTSGGGAGGCCGYACACGAAGTCCATGGAGATGGACTGCCACCGGTGAGTTGGGATGGGCAATGATTGGAGCTTGCCGGGTTTGGCCCGGTTCGAGGGGTTGACAACTTGACACGTGGGGCACGGGCGAATGTATGCCTTAACGTCGACGAGTAGGGAAGGCCGGTAGAAGTAGCGGGAGATGGTGTCGAAGGTCTTCTGGAAACCGAGATGTCTTGCGGTCTTGGCGTCGTGGTGCTCGGCCAAGAGCTGAGTACGGAGGCCTCGTGCGTCGGGGATGCAAAGTCGGCGAGTGCCTTTGGTATCGATGTAGAGGAGATTGTTGTGAAGGGAGTAGTCGGGAACTGAGTCAAGATCGCGGAGCTTGTTGTAAATGGTGGCGAAGTCTGAGCAGGAGAGATAGCCTTGGGTGTATCGATGATGAAGCGATGGAACGAGTTGAATATGAGTCATGGTGGCATAGACTTTCTCGAGGGGCTTGTGGTCGGGTCGTCACGAGAGGGCATCGGCAACGCGGTTGCTTTTGCCGGGGGTATGGCAAATGGTGAATGTGAACAAGGCAAGGAAGTCTAGCCAACGGGCTTGGCGTGGAGTGATATCTTTCTTGGAGAGGATGGAGGAGACGATGGTGTTGTCAGTGCGGATGGTGAAGTATTGCCCGTCGAGGTATGGGCGCCAGACTGTGAGGGCGTGAATCACGACGAGGAGTTCCTTCTCGTTGGAGGGGTAATTCATCTCCGCGGGAAGGAGCTTCTTGCTTGCGAAGGCGATAGGGTATTCGCCAGGTGGAGCCTCGGGGTGAGTGGGCGAGTCCTTGATGGAGGGGGTCTCAGCGGTGTCGCGGGGGATGTTGGGACAGTACGGCTCCGATGGCGAAGTCGGAGGTGTCAGTGGTGACAAAGAAATGGCGAGTGGGGTCGGCGATCTTGAGGACAGGGGYCGTGGTGATGGTTTGCTTGAGTAAGTCGAAAGCTTGTTGACGGCGATCGTTCCAATGGAAAGGCTCGTCCTTGCAGGTGAGTTCGTGGAGAGGGTAAGAGATCTCGGAAAAGTTGCGAATGAACGGGCGGTAATAGTTGGCAAGGCCAAGGAAGGAACGGAGTTGGAGGAGGGTCTTGGGTGGGGGGTACTCGACRAGGGYTGTGACCTTYGAGGGGTCCATACGGATGCCTTCAGCGGAGACAATATGGCCAAGGTATTCGACGCTCGAAGCGGCAAACGTACATTTGCTGAGCTTGGCGTAGAATTTTTGCTCTCGGAGGATCGCGAGGACTTGGTGGAGGTGCTGAAGGTGGGACTCGAAGGTGGGGCTGAAGACGAGGATGTCATCAAGGTAGACAACGACACAGACTTCGAGGAGGTTGCGGAAGATGTGGTTCATGGTGGATTGGCAGGTAGCGGGGGCATTGGTGAGTTTGAATGGCATCACGAGGAACTCGTAGTGCCCGAACCGAGAGCGGAAGGCGGTCTTGTGGGTGTCCTCCTCGCGGATACGGATCTGGTGGAAGCCACTACGAAGGTCGATCTTGGTAAAGTACTTGGCTCCACGGAGACGATCAAGGAGCTCGGAAATCAGAGGTAGGGGGTACTTGTTCTTGATCGTGATCCGGTTCAAGGCGCGGTAGTCTGTGCACATGCTGAGTTCCGAAGTTCCACCTTTCTTGACGAAAAGGCAGCTGGTTCCGAAGGGGGATGAACTTGGCTTAATGAACCCTTTTTCAAGGAGTTCACCGAGTTGCCGTTTCATTTCTTCGGCTTCGGGGACAGAGAGTTGGTATGGAGGGCGGCAAGGTGGAGAATGTCCGGGTTCCAAATCGATGGTATGCGATACGCCACTATCCGGAGGTAGTCCGGCGGGTAAGGACTCGGGAAAGACGTCCCTGAACTCGTCGATGATTGAAGTGATGGCGGGGTTGGAGGGCGGGGCTTGATCGGGTTTGTCCGTCGGRAGTAAGTCCTTGGGACTTTCACGATCAAGGACAAGACAGTAGTAGGCGGAGTCGGGGTTTAGGCGAGCCATGTTGAGGAATTGGTGCGGGGTGACAGAGCCTTGGGAGGTCGGATATGGGAGATAGGGGATGCCAATGGTTCTGTCGGGGGGGGTGGTGAGGCGAAGGGGGGTGGAATGAGTATGGCATGTAGCGGTCCAGCCACGGGGTTCCTGAGACGATGTCGCACATCAAGTGCATGACATCAAACGATACCTGACTGCGGAGGGTTCCGACGGTCATGATGGTCTCGGGAACCGTGCGGTCTACTACGATGGCAGTGTCTTTGTCCCCTAGGCGAATCGTGATCGGGGAGTCATAGCCGRTAGAGGTAAGACCGGCTTTGCGGACACACGCGTCGGTAATGAAGTTACCGGTGGCTCCAATGTCGAGGAGGGCCCGAAACGTAGTTGTAGACGCACCGAGGGTGGCAGCGATGAATTTGAGGTGGAAACGAGATGAGTTGGCGGTGGAGATGATGGTGTTGAGGCGGCGTTGTTCGTTGCCTAAGCGGACAAGCCGATCGTGTCGGGCTTGTTCCTCAACAACATCGGAGAAGGTGATARTGGATGCWTTTGGAGGAAGGGTAGAGGAGCATGAGGCAGTGGGAGGTRTTTGCGAYGCCTGGGAATCGTCCGGTGGAGGGGGCGTCGCCGGAGAGGGGGAAGGCAAATGAATTGTCGATGTCAGATGGGCCATCGGTGCGACGAAGGATGTCACYGATGGGTAGGCTGAMARATGCAATGTTGATGTCGGGTCARTGTCCTGGGGACTGTGTTCATGATGAGGAGGGGCCCGCGCTTGCCGAGGGCGGTGATGCGGAGGTTGCAGGTCGCGTGGAGGTGGACTGACGGGTGAATCGTGCGGTGTTGGGGCAGTTGGTTTGTTGGTGCCCCAATTGGCGACAACGGAAGCAACCCCCTTTTGCTTGGAGGTAGGTGCGCTCCTCGGGGGTGAGTTTCTTGAGGCCGGAGGGTGGGGTAGATGAGGGTGGTCGGGAGCTGCGATCTCTGCGTTCCATTCTCATGAACTGGACGACATCGAGTTCCTCGGAAGTGAGGGATGAAGAGTCGMGTGAATCGAAAGATGCGTCGGGGTCAGATGTGGTGAACTCGTCTAAGGAAGTGATGGAGGTGGTGTCTTCGGGGGTGATGTGGTGGAAAAAGCGGGTGCGGGAGGTGCCGGGGGGGGCCTGGTGGTGGGGGTGGAGGAGCCGATCGTGGTGGAGCATGCGAGAGACAAGGTCAGCAAGGGGCATGTCGGGTTCGTGGGCGAGGGCGGTTGCAAGGTCTTTGTGGCATACTCGTTTAATGCGGGAGATGAACGCACAGTCGGGAATGACGGTGTGGGGGAGGTGGTGTCGGAGGGAGCGGACGTATTGGACGAAGCGGTCCGTGGGACCGGTCTGGCGGAGGTGGCAGAATTGTTCAAGGTAGTCGTCAATGGTTTTCTGGGGGCGGAAGGTGGCAGTGAGGAGGGTGGTTTGCGCTGTGGGGGTTGGAGTGGTTTGCACTGTGGAGGTTGGAGTAGTTTGCACTGTGGGGGTTGGAGTGGTTTGCGTGGCGGTGACGACCGTGATGGAGGGGGTGGTCCCTTCGAGCGTGGTGACGCGGTCGCATATGGACGACATGTTGGCCTTTATGTCGTCGAGAGAGGCGGTGACGGAGCTTCGGAGGGTGTTGAGTGCGTGGAGGATGGCGGAGAGGTCGAGGGTGGCGGTGTTTGCTGGTGGTTGTTCGCCTGCGAGGTTGCGGGCGATGCTATCAACTGAGTCGGTGCGGATGTCGGACATGATGGAGGATGCGGCCATGTCGGGGGAAGAGGGGGTGGAGGACGTGGCCTGAGCGGGTGTGGAGGATGCAGCAGCAGCGGTGGCAGCGGCAACAGCGGTGGCGTCGAAGGCGGCGCGTTGGAAGTTATTGGTTTGGCGTGGTGGCATGTGGAGGGTGGGGGGGGAATCCCTTATTTATTTATTAATAAATTCAAAAATAAAGATAATCCCCAAGTTTTTTTTTCAAAAATAAACGCTGAACAGAAAGAGTTAATTAATTTCGAAAAAATAAATTCTGATGTAGATTTAAATTTATTGACAAGAAAACGTGAAATTTCAAAAGAAAATATTTTCGAATTACGAGGGAAAAATGAATAAATTCTGAAAAGAAT